AAAAAAAAAAAAAAAATGGCTGCCCATTGGGTATACTGACTCCATCTTACATCCTTTCAACCACCACCACCATCCCCACCATCGTTGCTACCATCACTACCATGACTGTCGCCCTCTCCACTGTCGCCACCATCCTCACCAGCGCCATCCTCAGTTGCACTGGGACACCCTAGTCACTGCTTGCCAGGTGTGTTCACGACCCCACCTGATCCCAGGGGCAGGTTGACCAGGAGACTTGGTGATCTCCGTCTCACTCTGCAGAGACCATCCCCAGGCAAATGCCCGGGGCTTGCGTCCAAGTCTGGCGGCTGAAGCTCCGAGTGCCGTGGTCACTCCACTGCCGGGTGGCCCCGATCTCCCTGTTTGTAAAACGTCGAGGCCAAGCGTGGCATCGTCTGAGGCTGCTTTAACACGCTCTGGAATCTGGAGCCCGCCCCCCATCTCAGTTCCTTGCTGCCTTATGTCTGGACTTTGCTCGGTCCCTGGACTTTGCTCTTCCACCAAGAAGGCGATGTGACAAGCCACACCCTTTCTTCCCAGGCCCTCTCTGCCCCACCTTTTGTGGCTCCTCCAGACAGAGCTCGTCCTGGGCTCCCCCAGCAGCCTCACACCCCGGGGGGTGGGCCCATGACCCAGGTGCCAGTGAAAGAAGCGAGGCTCAGAGAGTGAGCCACCTGGCCCCAGCACCCACCCACGTGGCACCGACTCCAAAGCCCGTGTCCCTGCCACTCCCCCACCAGAGCCTGCCTCTGTTTCTTACTGCCCCGCCCAGCAGCGGCCACGCCTTCCCTGCTTCTCACCTGTGCTGTCTTTGCTGGTGTTTCTTCCTGCTCTCCACCCTGTCCAAGATGTGCTGAGGAGTCCCTCCTCCGGGAAATCCCCTTGGGGTCCCCCAGTTCCTTATCGCCTCCTCCATTCACCCAAAACTATAAGCTGCCCCCAGCAGGGACCCCCATCTCACTCATCTCGGGGCTCCCAGGGCTCGGCACAGAGTCTGGTGCTTGGTGGGCAGGGGGTGGACCCCCCCTGCCTTGGGAGGGCCCATAGCTGGGGTGCCCTCGGCTCTGCCCAGAGCACCCAAGTGCCGAGCCTACAGGCCTGGCCTAGAGCGTGGCAGCTGGAAGCCACAGGAAACAGGCAGGGAAAGCCCCTGGAGACACCGTAGAGGGAGTAGATTCTGTGAGGCTCCAAACAGGTCCAAGTTCATGGGGCCCTCAGAGGACAGACACATGGGTTTCTTTTTTTTGAGTTGGAGTCTCACTCTGTCGTCCAGACTGGAGTGCAGTGGCCACTC